AGTACCTTTATTGTGCATTGTTGGGAAAGAGCTCACAAGTTAAGCATTTCACTGTACTGGTTTACACCTGCTGTATCCTGCATGTGACCTTTAAACTTGTATAGGTTATTAACCTCTACAATATGTGGACTCAGAATAGAATTATGCGTGACTGCATAAACTACATAAAATACTGATTCAATCACACTGTCCAAATTCTGGTTCTGTGACTTATATTGTGTTGTAGGCTACATCCATAAGAAAAATAAAGTCATGGCATTAATGCAACTTGTAAAATGTTGTGTGACCCAGTTATAAACTAATTCAAACGAAGCGTTAGTTTGTTCCGTTAGTGGCAATTTGCTATAGCCTATATACAGTATATCTAATAACTAACTATATATTACAAAAATAAGGACAGTAACATTGATGATAATATGAATAGGCCTAGATATAATAACTGTATTATTCTAGCCTACAATAAGGGTCATTTTAATGTGTGGTGGACACATAGGCCGTTATGTGAGAGCATAATTTATGTGAGCAATTTTGATTGCGTTATAGGTTTGAATCAGGTAAATTGTAGTTTTGGTGGCTATTTGTGATGGTTTATTGATACAATGCCGCAATAATCCATTTGGATGGGATGGACCATGTCATAGCCCATTGTCATGCAACAGTATTTTTGTATTGTGCTAGACTACTTGAATACTCAACTTTGAGCCAACAGGTAAACTGAATTGAACAATCATTTTCTCAAATATATTTTTCCAGACACAGACATTTGGGCTACATTTCAGTCATTTAGCAGACGCTCTTATGCAGAGCGACTAACAGGAGCAATCAGGGTTAAGTGCTTTGCTCAAGGGCACATCGACAGATTTTTCACCTGTCGGCTCGAGGATTCGAACAAGCTACCTTTCGGTTACTGGTCCAACGTTCTTAACCGCTATTGCTATAGGCTAACTGCCGCCAGACAAACGTTAAACATTGCCTGTATGAGGATAATAGGCCTGCTTGCGCTGCCACTCAAGTAAAGTGTAGTCAGTCGCTTGAACGATGGTATAATAGAACGTAGCTCATATTTTGATAAAGGAAATATCTCATTATAGGACTAATGCTTGTAATCAAATGGTTTTACGTTGTTGTTTTTTATGAGGGTGTTCATTTACCTATTGCCTGTATGCATTTGCCTATATGCGTTATTGAAATGACCTGGACCGCAATGTCCATAGGCTATCAAACTGCGTAAATTCTAAAACACATTAGACAGCAAAAAACGTGACATCGTGAGAGAGAAAAAATCAATATAATATTCTGATTACCCACCACCGTGTAGTGATCCGCTTAATAGTTGAATAGAAAATAAGCATAATCAACAATAGCCCACACTATTCCTCCTTTTGAAGATAAGATAATAGTCTAATTATGATCCGTTTTAAATAAATTCAGGTCTGTTTCTGCCTCGATACTATTGTATAACTGTGTTGTATAACTTCATATTCAATGTAGGCCTGCTTATTCATTTATGAGTTTATTTTACCACAGTCCCAGACAGGCACTAAAATAATTGCCATCCTTCTCCCTTGACAGTAGGGTCGGACGCCTATGAGGGACAAATAACGAAATGGTGTTTCTCTCCTCGCTGTAGGCCTACCCGTTGTGATCCTTTGGAAGACATAAACCAGTGAGTTTGGGTTTTATTTTTGGCTTCAGGCAAGATAGAGGGGAAAAGGAAAGAAAGACAATCTTCTTGAAAGAACCGACAGATCCCCTTTGGCTCTTTTGTGTGAAGTTTTTCCCTTTCAGACAGAGCGTTCATCCATGTGATTTCTCAACTTATTGTCATTACTTATTTATTAATTGATGCCTCCTGGGTGAAATTGAGCTGCGAGGGACTCGCCACAAGGCACTTTACAAGCCTGCACAACGCAGAAAACTGTCTTTTGACAGCCTATGGTAGGGCAGTGCTGTGCAGGCATATAACCAATTATCTTCCAGCGAATCTCGGTGCAATTCAACTTCACCATAACATAAAAGCTGTAGCCTATAAATCTATTGTTGTTTATCTGGCGAAATAATATTTTTTTTTCGCCCACAGAAAATTGGCCTTGTTTACATTGGGCGTGTTCAAGCGGTTCACTTTTGTCAAGTTGGTGATCCTTTCAAAGTGTGTTGCATTAAGGGGATACAAATTGTCCGACTTGCACCTACATGTCAACTGCATGAATTTTACAAAAATCATGGGATTAAATATCATGAAGTTGTGACTACAGTCGACTGCAAGTGTCTGCAGTTGCTCTTCACCAACTTTATCCTGCAGCCATCGCCTGGATTGTGGGAAATTCTAACCAATCATTAGTGTTTTTGTTTGACCCATGCAAAAGTGACCAAAGAGATGACTGAAATAGGAACCAACTTTGCCTTGCTTCATGTATTCAGTGGATATACAAATGAATGTGATATTTGAGGCTCTCAATCACTAATTAATTGTGCAATCTACACACATGATTTCAGTTTGTGGGGGTGTGATATGGTGGTTGGAGACATGTTTATGTCAACATTATGAAGACAAACTTGTATAAACAATAGCAACACTGCCATGTTGATCTAAGCCTTGCTGTTGGAAAACCACATTCCTGTCAGACTTTGGGCTGTTGCAAATGGGCCACCACGACTTCACTCATTGACTTTCGTCTACAGTCGGTTGCTTTAACCTTACTACTCAAACGCGCCCAATAAATTCGTGTGAATGCTGAAGGAAAGGAAACTCAAGGAGGGAAGAAAACTGTTGCACGTCGCCAGTCCCTCATTGACATTTTAGAAATGATAAAAGTTCTGCCTTGCCTGCAGCTATAGCCTCGCTGGAGCCGGGGTTTATCTGCGGAAGATTGCCTTAGCTCGTTATAGCAATTATTTTACTCTAATTTAACCCCTGTCTGGATGGCATGACCAGTTAAAAGCAGCCTCAACTTGGGAGCGGCCAGTACTTCGCCCATAATAGTTTCCTATTTTGCTACAAGTCTTCCTCATTGCAGCAATTGACATGGACTTTATTAGGTTTCAAAAATATTTTCTCTCTGTGCCCAATTGAAGAATGTCAAGTAACCTGTATTTATGTGTCGAATGACACACGTCTGCTAACACCGTAGAAGTGGCTCCTCCACAACGTAGGTGTCACCTGGCTAATTATAGTCGATAATGACATTCCACCGAATCGTTTAGGCCTACAGGCAATTTAGCCCTATAGACTCAATCTCTAATTTGCCGGAGTGTTTTGAAGTCTGCACAACTGATGGTTGTAGATGTTGGTCCCCACTGATCTCTTCTGGCGCCAACAAAATCTGGGTGAGTTGTTTGAAAGCAATGGGCAACAGCTGTAGAAATATATTCCGCGTTTTGCTCAGCGAAATGACATTTGACAGGTCTAATTCATAGCTGTTACACGTACACTGACTGCAATGTTCAAGAAACGGCTGCTCTTTCACAATTATGCCTACAAAAATGTGGGTGAAATATATTTTAAACTGGCTACCGCTATGGTCACACAGACAAAGCGTGCATGCAATTTGCGTATTCTGTCGAAGCCTGTGTGTGCGTTTATTTTCAAGGTTTCTGCCTTTTAAATTCGAAAGGCTTATTTTTTAATTAGGCTACTTTTTCACAGTGATAGGCCAACCGGAAATATCAGGCTAAAGTCCTGCTTAGATTGTTTTTTTGTATAATAAACCATAGGGTTCAGATAAAGTACCACACTTTTTGAAGAAACCGATAGGGCTACGTTTTGTTGATTAAGTATAGAAAAATGAAATACATTTTAGAGTAGATTGGTCTGAAATATAGACTACTATTCCCACATTTTACCAGCATATTAGTCATTTTCCCATTCGAAATATTATTCAAGTAGCCAACCACTCATTGAACATTGAACTCGATATTTTCTGACGAGGACACCACATCATTATGGATACTAAACTTGGCCTAAAATCAACAAAGTGTAACAAAACGTAATGTCAACAGCAAATTAAAACTTAAAATGCAGTGAAATCATCACTGCATTTTGCTAATATTTAATAAATAGGCCCTACTCAATAACTGCTGGCACGTTTGAGTTTAAATTAGGCCTACATCCAGGCTGGCTACATAGAGACGCCACCAATGGAAATGTGGTTCAAAGTCATGGAAAGTCATGGAAAGTCATGAAATTCCATCTGTCAAAATGTGTATGAACCCTTAACAGTGAATAATCAGAGGTCTCTATTGCATGATGTCATTTGGGGATTTCTGTGAACATAGTCTAATGGACCGAGTTTAAAAAAGACAGCTCCTGCACCTCTCATCCCAAGCCAAGCACTGAATCTAGTCATGTGTACTGCCAATCAACACGAACAACTGCTTAATGAAAAAGATTAAACCATTTATTGTTAATTTATGTCACAAATATATTCAATATAAATGAGGGTATTTTTCAAATATACAGTATTTTACAGTACACAAATCCCTTCCGAAGGGAATCATTCAAACAACAGACAGTGTTGCTATAATAGAAAAAATGCTGTGGTTCTCCGAATTTAACAAAGAGCATTAATTGACATTGGATTCAGTAACCCACTATTTTACGCATTGACATGAATGCAACTGAAAAATATAGCATCTTAGTTATCTTTAGTCTGCAGAGTGACAGCAGTCCACATAAGTGATGAGAGCCCAACCTACCTTTTGGGTCTTATGTGTGTTGGTGCAAAACCCCATGAGTAAAACTTTCGCATGTTTTAAGTTTTTAGTGGACTCGGGTAGAGCTTAGCTTAGCTTTAGTGACCCAATAATCAACCGTGGCATCAAACTAATGGCAAGGTAGATGTCAATACTTGACATACCGAGGAAGACAGCACTTTTACAAGGCAGTCCTTACTTATGACTATCCAGTCGTGATATGCAACACCAGGTAGTCTTTTGGCGATGTGGGTCTATGTTGAAGCCCTTCATAGTCAACATGGCACAGAAAATGTCCTTCCTTCACGTCAGGCGAGGTGATACATGCTGTATCCGACATGAGCAGCGTACAGTCCCATGGGAGACATCGGCAGGGAGTGCCTCTGGAAGTGGTGCGACCCTCCATACGACGAGGGGACGTGCGCACCGAGCGGAAAGGAAATTCCGAACGCCGGAGGCAGCATTGGCTTGGCTGCCATTTTCAGTTTTTCCAGTTCTGCCTCCTGGAGCCTCTTGGCTTTGGCTCGTCTGTTCTGAAACCATATTTTCACCTGGGTCTCCGTCAGGTTGAGCGAGCTGGAGAACTCTGCGCGCTCGGCGATGGAGAGGTACTGCTTCTGGCGAAACTTCCTCTCCAGAGCCAGGAGCTGGGACGTGGTGAAAGGGGTCCGGGGCTTTCTGTTGGTCTTGTGCTTTCTCAGTGGACAGGCGGGGGGACTTAGTCTTCCTGCAATAACCACGAGAGAAAACATCGTCAAAAATCATACTTTCAGAGTGACAGACATGGACGAGTTAAAGTTGTTTTGATGTGAAGAATTCATAATAAACCCATAAACTTTTAAATAGTTTATATCCAAAACACTTAATGGAACTGGAGCATGATTTTAATATAGGTTAGGCCAATGAATTCGTAAAAACGGAGACGTTAGAAAATACCCAACTATGTGATAAAATACCCAACTAGGTGCTTAAACTGCAAATATATATGCCAAACTAAAATTCCCACAATCAATACGTTGCTTTACATCATACTAAACTTTTCACCCAATTATAACTCTATAATAAAGGCATAACCTACTGCAGCTGGTTTTACGCACGCATTATGGAAGAATAAAAAATAAAAATAAAAACTTACGTGGAGTAGGCGAAAAGCGAGGGCTCTGTATCCAAGAATTTCGGTCTTGACTTTCTGGACTCTCGGGTTTAACCAATGCGTCCTCTTGCATGTTCATAATGTCGCCTACTGAGAACGACGACCCGATGGCCAAGGAGGGGACCGAGTTATCCAGACTCGAAAGCGAGCCCACCCTTGAGCCTAGCGCCTGGGACGTCCCCGCCATGGATGATCTTTCTGGAGATGTCAAGTCTCTGTTCGGTTTCCTATCGGCCATCAGAGCCTCGACGCTGAAGGGAAGAATCGCAACTTTGGGCTTGATCGCTGTCTCCTCCGCCACCACGATCAAATTGGTCTGCATCTCGCCTTTTCCAACGAGAACCGAACGCGAAGGAATGTCTTCAGTTTTCAAGCCAATGGATAAAGCTGACATGGCAATAGTTGGGGCCATACAGGTTTGGCCTTCACTTGGAGGTAAACACTCGAAGTATCGAAAAGTTGAGTGACAGAAATTGCTGGGGTGCTCCTATGCTGATGGCATCCTCATGTTTATCTGAACACACTGGTGAGCAGTGCTATAAGGCAGGGGTGGGGACGCCACCCTCCAATCAAAAGTGAGGTGGGTGGGACATAGAGATTCCAGTCGAGCAGGAGTCTCAGCTACAACTGATGTGATGTGAAGCTTGGCTGTTTGACTGACGGGGAAGTAAACAAAGTTAGGCTACATTTTACAACTTAAAATAAACAAACCTTGTGCAAATACTTAATTGGGCATGGTAGCCATTCAATTAGCAACATAAATTAAAACGTATTGCTTTCAATATAATAATTTATATAGAAAATATTACATTATTATTAATAATCTTATTGGTGTTATTGTTATTAGAAGGGCGGTGGTGGTGGCACCCTTGTAGTAGCCTATCAGTAACTGTGGTAATTGCTGCTTGTGCTGTCACAAAAATAGGTTTATCAGAGGACGTGATAAGTGTCATGTTATATTGAAATTAATATCAAAGCATTATATAGGCTACTATAGGTATTTATACTATTATACTACTTATCATATGTCTTACGACTTTATTTTGCTATTACATTCAACAGTTAAGTTGAAACTCTCGAATGTTGCCTAACGTTTACTGTCTTCCTTTATGTGATCGGCCTCTTGCAGAGCAATTTTTATTGATGGCTGCAGGGCTCTAATCATATTGAAACACACAGGCCTTCGCAGTCATTTAGGGGTAATTATCGGGCTTGGGGGAGGGATCACTGGGATCTTTCCCTTTGACTACATCCATTAAAGTCTAAAATTATATGGAGTCATGGAGGCAACCGTGGAGCCTATGTTCGATTTAACCTACGATTGTCATTGAGCCAACCTGTCTACTCTGGGAATACTTGAAAATCTCTATTCTAATAGGATATACAGTATATGTATCAGGTTTTTTATATAGCGAGATAGGGCCAACGCTTCCTCAGTTACTTTTATGTTTGATCTACATTATTTATCTAAAATTGATTGATTAATGACCGTGTTTTCCTCATTGACGCATAGTAATGCAGTTATAACTAAGCCTATAACTATAGAGTAGGCTATACTGTCGCTTTATTTTCTCTTAACTAAAATGATGCTCGGTTAATGCAATCTCAATTGTGTACGAAAATCACGAAAAATAGTTACTATTCCTATTTCATGCAGTCTATTTAGCTCTCTGGAAAGCGTCTGCGTCGCTAATTGCTAAGTATAAACAATCTGTCAAGATGTGTCAGTCCCTCTAATAGTCAGACAAGTTATGTTGTTTTTAGGCGCCAGCAGCGGCATGATCAAAGCGCTCGACTTTAGGGAGACTATTGAAAATCTTTAACTCGCATCAAGAGCGCAACCCGCCTCCTCCTTGCCCGCCCTAGCCTTGGGACATTAGGCTATTCAGCATGAAAAATTAGCTTTCTCAGCCGATCGCACGCCATTTCCAACGATTTAAATGGGGCACTAGCTGGTGTAATAGTAGGGTACTCAGAAGAAAAGGTCAACGCTTCCCACTAGTTATTTTCAGAGAGCCCCTTGCTGAAAAGGATTCCTCGGAAGAAACGTAGGCTATAGGCATCCCTACAGCGTTTAGTAGGAGAACGTGGTGATTTAGCTCTGAAGCTGTCTCAACTCCTGAGCGTAAATTCTTGTTCTTGTGTAATTACACCATTCAAAGTGACATGATTTAGGAGTGATGTTTGAGGTAGCCTATCCATTATTTCTACTGTTGCTAGGTGTATTATATAGGCCTACCCTACCTGTAATAGCCATCATTAACTGTAAATTCCACTTTTGTTTTGGGATAAATAGGCTATTCATTGGTTATAACTGATACAATTACACGAAAATGAGTAATTTAGCATTTCCTTCATTCTACATCCGGTGCCCAGGGGAAATACATCTACAACTATGTATATTTGGAAACACTTAAGCCCATAACCTAGATTGGGTGGCACTGCGTGCACCGCGCTCTCTCTTTCTTTGAAGTCACTGGGATCTCTTGTGTTCCAGGTCTGTTTGAAGTTGAGTCCCCCGACGAGTTTCTGCTCGCGCACTTCTCCATCCTCGAAAACGTATTCATAAAATGGTCCTAGCGCATAAACACAAATAGTCACAGATGATAGCCTATATAGTACCACGTCTAGTCAAGCGACTGTATATTTCACCGGGTTTGGCTGTAGAGGGGACACAGAAATGAGAAAGGAGTGACTTTATGTAGTATGTGAAATTTCCCCTTGAAGTGCGCCAGAGCGCTGGGTAAAGACTATCTTCTTTGTTTACTTCGGTTTATTTGCGTTGTGATCGTGCTGGAAGAAAATTAGAATCCCAGACACTGCCCTTTCAAATTAATGATGTGCCATGGAAAAGACGATTACCATAAAATTTTATTTAAATTCCGAGGCAACAAATGAGGGCTGAGCTAGGATACAAAACAACTGTAAGCCTCATCAGAGCTTTGTTTAACTTTATAAACTACCTTTGATTCGGAGTCAAGAGGCAGGGAGGCGAGACAAAGGGCCATTGTGGTCCCCTCAGAAAGTTGTCTTAACCCTTTTCATGCAAAGTCTGTTCGTTTTGACTTAAAATCTATAAAAGGCACTGCTGATGTCAAAAGGTATTTCAAGCAAAATATTTGCACTTGGTGAAAGTAACTGACTTTCGTCTAGCCACATTGCTTATATGACGAGCTGACAAATCTTATTCTCAGGTTTTAAAACCAAAACATCACGTTGCATGTGACTATTATAGCTTAGTTTCAGTTTTGCTGACCCTTTTGTGGATGTTGAAGTATATGGCAGTGGCAGGATATCCAAATAATATGAGGTTCTTTTTCTATGCATTTTTATAAAATAATCAGCAAGTATATTTGACCGTTTATGGACATAACACCAATCATTAAACCACAAATGAGTTGTTTCGAACTCTGGTGAACTTTTGTCATGACACATTCCCTGAACCTGTCTCTTTAAGAAATCCTAGCGCTTATCCCAGAATGGAATGCCCAATTTTGAGTGGCCTAAATTAATTTGATCTCGACATTATGATGCACTTCAGAAAGATTAAAGGGACAGCCGACAGTCTCCTCCAAGATCTCCATAATTATAGATAATGTATCATATTTCAAAGCAATTAGCTCAATCAGGCGTAACGAGGCACTTTGCTGCCAGTAACTAACAATGCCTCATGGTCATTTAAGCTTCAAAATGCCATGAAGTCTCCAAAGCTTGCAGGCTCGCCTGAAATCTATTGGCGCAGTTGGCAGGTGTATGTTCGAAGTCGCCTTTCTCACTGACACAACAAACCAATGAAGTCATGAAGATAGATTTCAAGTGGAGTGCAGGAAGAGGGACTTTTCAAATTTTGCGACGGACACACGGTATCCTACGTGTGTGCGTGCGCGTGTGTCGGCATTTACGTCACTCTATAATGATAATATAATTACGGTAAGTTTAACTGATATTGCCATTTCTCAAATCCATGCATATTAGGCATTCTTGAAAATAAGCCTAAATAAAGCATATTTAATCCAAAAGGTACTGACAAGTAGGCTATGTGTAGGCTATATCCTGCATGGATGTATTTTGTGTAGTGCATTAGTATGTGGGTATAGGCAATTTATATAGGCTATTCGTTAGAAGAAGAAAAACAACTTTAAACAAAACATTGTGAAAATATAGGCCCCTAAGTTATTCATCACTTTTATGACAATGGAATTGACCAATATATTCACATTTCAAAATGTTGCTTCGGATTTCACCCAGGCACCCAATACAGCCTATCATATCTTACACGGTTTCTTGCTTTAAAAACATCTGCTAACAATTCTTCAAAACTGAACGATGAATGATTCCCAAAAGGAAACGCGCGCGTAATAATGAATACTGTGATGGAAAAACTACAGGTGAAAGGAGTTTTATGCATGCATAGAAAATGTGGCTATACTCCGCATATTCTCAAAGTCTCAAAGTTTAACACATTTGCCAAGTACAAACCGAGATTGTGAACGCATTCACCATTCATCTCCTCACCTTTCACGGGTGACAGGGATGAGAGTGTCCCCACGGTGACTGCAAAAATCTCTTGCGGTAAAGAAAAGGGTTTTCAGTTCGCTTCTCCGAGGCGCAGCGGGGGACAATATTGTTCGCAGGCCAGTGTCATTCAAGGAAATATTTGCGTGACATCGTCTCCTCGAAAGCTCGGAAACGTTCATAATTTGCGAGTCTGTCATCCGTCAAGCGAATCCAGGCAAGGTACCGCAAGACTGTTTTGGTAGCCTGTCTTGCAATGGACATGCCATGCCGAGAAAATGGTAGGCCTAATAGTCATTTATTACCCTTACTGAAAATACAAATCATACTGTTGAAAATCACAACTTTGTGTTAACTAGAATGTTCTACACCTTAAGCAACATTTACGTCCATCTAAGAATAGTTCATGAAAGTTCTGAGCCAAAAAATAGCGCGATAAAATTATTTTAGTTATCTCTTATCTCTAGCGATATATATAGCGTAACCTAGACACCTTCCTCTATGTTGGATTACTAAAGGGGAAGAGTATCCTTTTCGTTATTTAGGAATTTAAGCGTTATGTTATAGCAAAATGCTCTCAGAAAATAAGTAGCCTAATGAATTACTATAAATAACTATGAATTGTTATTATTATTATTATTGTTATGATTATATTATTATTACTATATTCATTTAGACACTCTTTACACTATGTTGGTAATAAAAGCAAATAGAAAGATACTTTTTTCAAAGCATATAAATCATTTTATTGAAAGGGTTAGTCAACAATGATGATCACTTCATATGGCACTCTGTCTGGTCCTCATATTTGGCTTGTCTGAGCCTGCAGTAATTCAAATGACCATATATGACATGTTATTATAACCTAATATATCTTCACATGCAATCTCTCTCTCT